GCCATATCCTTCTTTACTATTAGATGGGGGGGTAGTACTGAGTGTACTATATATGAAGTACTGTATGTAGTAGTATTAGTAGTGGTACTGTGTGTAGTAGTGGTAGTACTACAGTATTGTTCTTTAACCACGGTCACTGGTTCTCAGAGGAGAGACGGGAAAGAACAGCTGGGAGATTTCTTTGGAGGATCAAACTCATACGCTGAGTGTTACCCTGCCACGTAAGACACACACACACACACACACACACACACACACACACACACACACACACACACACACACACACACACATCAGTATTTATTTATCAGTAAATTGTGTGTGTGTGCGCTGCAGGATGGACGACCTGGCTGTGGACAGTGATGAGGAGGTGGACTACAGTAAGATGGACCAGGTAACTACGACTCCCAGCATGCACCACTGCTCTGTGACCTCAGTGCATCTGCAGCAGGGGGCGCTGTGTGTGTGTGTGTGTGTGTGTGTGTGTGTGTGTGTGTCGTGGTCCAGATGTTAACAGCTGTGTGTGTCTCAGGGTAATAAGAAGGGTCCTCTGGGTCGCTGGGACTTCGACACTCAGGAGGAATACTCCGACTACATGAACAACAAGGAGGCGCTGCCCAAGTACGTGCTGTGTCCCTGAGCTGTGACTTACAGGTGCTCTTTTCCTGCCGCTCTGTGCTGATGAAGTTTGTCCCTGCAGGGCCGCCTTCCAGTACGGCATCAAGATGTCTGAGGGCAGGAAGACCCGCCGCTTCAAAGAGACCAATGAGAAGGCCGAACTAGACCGGCAGTGGAAGAAGATCAGCGCGGTGAGACAGAGACCGGACCGGACTAGACTAGACTGCACACTGATGATGTCATTACACTGTCACTTTAAATGTGCTGATGATGACATCACTAACTGTTGTTTCTATGTCAGATCATCGAGAAGAGGAAGAAGATGGAGGCGGACGGGTGAGTGCTACATCATCACCTGCTCAGCCAATCCTAAGAGAGCAGGAAGTGCTTCTATTTACATGTCCAGATACATAAACATGACACAGAGCAGTCAGTAAGCAGACAATAAACAGTCAGTAAGCAGACAAACAGTAAACAGACAATAAACAGTCAGTAAGCAGACAAACAGTAAACAGACAATAAACAGTCAGTAAACAGACAAACAGTAAACACAGTAAATAAACAGTATACGGTCAGTAAACAGAGTGTTTTTATTTTTCAGGGTTGACGTGAAGAGGCCCAAATACTGAAGTCTTCCTTCCTTCTTTGGTTCCTCCTCTCCTGCTGCTCTCTGGCAGGAGTCACAGCATCTATATTGATCAGTGATTATCTGTTAATAACGAACCTGCTCTGTGAATACATTTATAGTTGAAAATGTCTGAAGTCAGAGGTCACAGACGATGATCTTCTGTAGTTTAGTTTCTATTTTAAAGTTCAGTAAGTTGATATGTCTGTCACTAAAATCAATATCTGATATTATTAATTAGTTTGATTGGAAACATGAATCATCATTAAACTCATCAATAAAACTCTGATCTCACTTTGACTCTTTCTCACCTTTCACCCAGAACACATTTCACAGGGTTCACCATCAGAGGTTCCACTGGTCTGAGGTTCCACTGGTCTATAAGGTTCCACTGGTCTCACTGGTCTATAAGGTTCCACTGGTTGATTAGGTTCTACTGGTCTGTGAGGATCCGATGAGTTCTGAATCATGTGATCACCAGAACAAACCTGAAGAGGAAGTTTCTTGATCTTTAGTTGATCTGGATCAAAGTTCTGGATCAGGTTCAGACCTGGTTCTTGTTTCCAGGTCAGATCGTCGACTCGTTCTTTAAGAGGCATGACCGCTCTAATTACACCGGAAACTGTGTGTTTGTTTACTCATTAGTGTTTGTTGACCTCGTTAAGGGTCCACTGTCTTTACTGGAGTCATTAAACTTGTTAAGACGCAGCAGCTCGTTAAGAGATCAAACTGAGAGTTTGTTGTTGATGAAACGTGTTTAACACTGACGGACGACTGGATTGATTAGTCTGATAATTACCATTAACAACACTAACGAGTGTTTGTTAATTATCCCGTGTGTTTGTTTTGATGGACAGCTGGACTGATGAATATGGATCTGGATGTTTCTGAAGATGCTAACGAGATGTTAATGAGCGGCTAACGAGGCCTCAGAGCTCTGCCCACCGGGAGCTCTTACAGGAAGTAGATTTTTCAGCCTGAAGAACATCAAAGAGGAAATTTTAGTTTTTGTCTTTAATCTGAAGTTGAATATTTACAACCTGATTTATTCAGTGTTTGTTCTCAACATTTAAATTCAACAACAAAGATCATCAGCTGCTCGTCAATAAAAGATCATTAACAACTGGAATATTGATCGACTCAAGGTCTAACACTCAGTTTCCCATGATTCAAAGAAGCGGATGATGAATGTGTCTGTACGCTCACATGTAGTTCTGTGTACTCAGTAGTGTTGTGTAGTCTTAAACTCAAAGGAAATGACATCACATCGTGTGACCTGATTGTTTCCCGCCTCTCGGCTGCTGAGTTCACTTGACTTAAAATGGACATTTATTTTTCTGTGTCATGTGACCTGGACATGAAGCCGCCATCAGTGACAACAACGTCTCCTCCTTCCTCTGCCGCCATCTTTACGAGCTGTGACAAGATGACGGCTGTTGGGGGTGAGAAGTGTCTTTGCTTTTACAGCTCTGAGGTTCTGAGCGCGCACTGTAAGACTTCCTGTTTGGTCCTGAGTGTCTGCTGATCATCATGAAGACAGCTGCTGTCTGTTCACCTGTTCACCTGTACACCTCGTTAATAATCTCCAGTGTTTGACTTCAGTTCACATATGAACTCAACACATTTCATCGACTGAGAATCAGCTCCACCTGCTGGTCACAGGAAACAGACTCCCTCGGGTTTGACTGGAAAACATTTGATTGTCATTTAGTTAAAACTTGTTCTTCTGACCTCAGAGCTGAACACTGGACCAGTACAGATGGACCAGTACAGGACCAGTATAGGTGGACCAGTATAAGAGGACCAGTATAGGTGGACCAGTACAGATGGACCAGTACAGGAGGACTAGTACAGATGGAGCTTCTGTGCGAGGTCAAAGGTCAGATCATTATAATCCGGTTCAGTTTCTATCATCAAACTCTCTGATTGGTCGACTTCAATGACAGAGCTGACCAATCAGATCACACTGGGCTGTTTCTGACACTAACACACACACACACTCTCTCTCTCAGCTGTGTGTGTGTGAGAACATGGAGCAGACAGAAACTTAAGTTTGTTGTATTTTATTTTTATAGTGTTTCTTCACTTCTTCTTTTACACTGTAAAAAAAAACTCAGTTAAATTCCGTCAGACCTGGACCAGGACTAAACCAGTTCACGTCACTGGTCTACATACTGACCAGTACAGATACCCACTGTTACCATTTGCACCAGTACATGTCTTGATTGTCCCAGCTGGACTGGTAGAGGATCCACTGACACACTGTAACACTGGTCAGACCAGTACAACCAGTATGACCGGTACAGATCACCAGCACTGGGAACATGAAGTCAGAGTGGAACTGATGTTAATGTTTAAACCTTAAAGCTGCAGAACCGTCGGTTCTCTGACAGAGAATCACCACGTTCCGTCAGTATCAGCTTCCACATGTTCTGAGGTTTCTTTGTGTCGTATATAGAACCACAAACCTCAATAATCAATAATATCGTCTCCACCTCAAACAGAAGAACCTCAGAGACGTCAAAGGTTCTTAAAGTTCCAGTTCTGTGTAGAACCAGGTTACAGACTGAGGTTCCTGCAGTGGAAACTAATTAACGACGCCTCAGAATCAAATGTGTTAATTATTGATTTGATCAGTTTTTACATCATCAAACAAAAACAAATAATAATGTTATTGATAATGAAACTGTACAGTGGAACACCATCAGCCAATCAGCTGTGACACTCGTTAAGCAACAGTTGTCACCTTCCTCGTTAAGTGTGACATCATGTAGAATTTAAACTTGAAACTCGTTAAAGATTAGAACCAGATCAGACCTGTGATGTCACACTGCACCACAGTACATGATGACATCACCTCTGAGATCTTACAACAGCTGCAGCGTTTACGACGTCTGGACAGCAGCAGATTCTCGTTAAACATCAGCGTTCGTTAAGTCCTGTCAGCCCCAATTAACAGTCACTGTAGCTCCACTACTACACCAACTATTGTAGTAGTACAGTAGTACTTGGTGTAGTAGTGGAGCTACAGTACTACTACAGTATTGTAGTATTGCAGTAGTACTGGAACAGATCACAGTTTTACATCAGTGAAGAAACATTAAAACACGTTTATAAAAGATTTCAGGTGTGACTCCGCCCCCTACAGGTGGGAAAACTCAGCACCTGTTCTCAGGTTTAAACCAGTTCAGGTCCAGAAGCCGGACTGAGGAGTCTACAGCTCCAAAGTATTCCACCTGATGACATCACAGGTGGTCATGCGACAGGTAGTTTCAGCCCCTCCCCCTTCAGGCTGACACAACACTCTGCTTTAATAATAATAATAATAATGATAATAATAATAACAATAATAATAATAATAATAATAACAACAGTAAGAAATCTTCAATAAAAACAGGAAGCAGACGGAGAGGTGGCTGATGGGATTGAGTCTTTACTTCCTCTTGTTTTTCTTTTTCAGAAAGTTACGTTCTCTTCCTCCTCTTCATCCCTCCATCTCTTCATCCCTCCATC